AACACAGATAGATAGATAGATAGATAGATAGATAGATAGATAGATAGATAGATAGATAGAACACAGATAGATAGATAGATAGATAGATAGATAGAACACAGATAGATAGATAGATAGATAGATAGATAGAACATAGATAGATAGATAGATAGATAGATAGATAGATAGATAGATAGATAGATAGAACACAGATAGATAGACAGATAGATAATTCATATATTACATACATGCATACATGGGTGATAGTTAATATTGACTGTCAACTTGACCTAGGAGATAATCTCTGGGCATGCCTATGAGGGAGTTTCTATATTAGATTAATTGATGTGGAAAGGCCCATCCTAACTATGGGCAGCACCATCCCACGGGCCAGGATCCAGGATTGAATAAAAAGAGAAAATCAACTAAAAGCCAGTGTTCATCTCTCTGATTCCCAACTGCAGATGCAGTGTAACCAGCTGCCTCACGTTCCTGCTGTCATGACTTCCTGTAAATGGACTATGTCCTCAAACTGTGAGCCAAAAATAAACCCTTTCTTCTTCCTTAAGTAGTTTCCTTCTCGAAGTATCTCTGAGGTCATCCTAGCTGGAGCCTTGCATTAAGCACCCAGAGTGTGGCTATGGGATCCCAGAGGCAGAAGGGAGTCTTATCTAGGGCCAAATGGAGGCCATGCCATATTACAAGAAGACAAAATGACCCAAAGCTGTACAGCTGCGTATAAACATTAGATGTGCAAAGAAAATACAAAAAGAGAGGCTATTAGACAGTGTCAAACTGTTGACAAAAATAAAACAAGCCAAGCTTTGCAAGCTGTTAGTTAGGCAGAAGGGCATGAGTATGCTGGTTGGCTCTTTTTCAGAATGAGGAATGAATTAGGGACTATGTGGACACTTTCCAAAGCCCTTGACTTCGTCCCCTTGTGAATTCTCAGGGTGTGCTACGGGGCCCTCCTCTTAGTTGAATTCTTTCTTCATGGTCTCGGGTCCCCCTCCCCCCAAAAAACCCCACAGGCTTAACACTTGCCTCTCCCACTTGTTGCAAAATTTTTGGAGAAGTCTGGCCTTACTTTGCTCTTCCTTCTTGGGGGGAGGGGCCACCAGTGGTGAACAGGAAGGGCACACAGGCCTCCATGGTGGGTGGTGAGGGTGGGTGGATGTGAGCAGTGTCTGACACCTTATAAAACTTGATTAAGCCTTGATTAACCAGGAAGTGGAGAGGGAGCTGCCATGAGGAGCTGCTGCTGGTGCCCTTAACTGTGAAGCCACGAGACAAAGGCCCCGGCCTCTGGGTCCTTGGCTCCAGAGGAGCCTCCAGTCCAAATTAATTGCCTTGGATTCAAGACAGACATAATTTATTTGGTTTGTGACTCTGAGGTCTGGGCTTCTGTTCAGTTTTGTTAGCGTGATTTTTCCAGGGACTGTCACAGAAGGAGGGTTTCAGAGCATGACAGTGTGTGGCCTTGCAGCAGAGATGTTAAGAATGGACCAGGCAATTGACACAACATTCTTCCAGTGTGACAGCAGACCCTAAGGTTCCCTTTTCTTCTCCATCTGTGCATCAAAGAATACAAAGATTATGTGTCCTTCTGGGTCAACTGATCAAAAACTCAACTGAGATCATTCTCCTGCTGCAGTGGGATGGGAAGTCACTTCTCACGGGGGCTTTACCCCTTTCTCTTCTCCATATTATTGCTAAAGAAGAAATGTATCTGCCATGCCTTCTGTGGAGCCTCAGCTACAGACCTGGTACTTCCTAGGTGTGGCTTTATTTCCTTAATACAACCAGCCCCGACAGAGACCTCATGCTCTCTGGTGTTCTTTGATGAATTGGATGGGAATTGCATGGCCAAGTGATGTGTGTAAAATCAGACAGCCAATTAGAAGACCCAGCATTTAACCCCCGGTTTCCCTGTCTGCTGAGTCCACTGGTCTTGTCAAAACACCAATTTGCCTCCTTCACAGACACTAGATGGGCACCCACTGAGTACAGGGCCTTGGCTGTGCTCAGATGCAAGAGTAATATGTGCAGTGTCCTTTGCTCAGTTTGGGCCTGCGTTGTCATGGTAACCTCGCACGGAGCAGAGAGCGCACAGTAGGAGTGTTACAGTGCCATTCTATCAGACCTGGACTCTGTTTCTACTGCCATCATCTCACCTTGAGACCTCAGTTTCCCTAGCTGTAAGAGAAGAGGTTGCTAATAATAATGTGCTTAGTTCTTAAGGCAGATTGCATGACGTGGTGTGTTTTCCAGGCTTAGCACAGAGTCAGGTGCATAGTAATTGTCCAGTACCTTTGATTAAAGGACACACTCAAGTAGCTTTCAACAATCTTAGCATTTTCAGTGACTAAGTAAGTTCCTCTGATGAAGGATGAGGTAAGTCACGCCCTAAAAGCAGGATGAGAATGGGACTCAAGACTCAGCAGCCCTGCAGCAAGGAGCCCAGGGTGCCCAGGGGTCCTCGCACAGCATGGCTTGGGTTCTTGTTTTCTAGTCATTACCATATTTAAGGGTAAAGTGGAGGAGGTGGAGCTGCCTGTGGACAAAGTGGACATCATCATCAGCGAGTGGATGGGCTACTGTCTGTTCTATGAGTCCATGCTCAACACGGTGATCTTTGCCAGGGACAAGTGGCTGGTAAGTGGTCCGCATGCTGTCCCCGCACTGCCCTGGTGGCTGTCTTGCCACACTTCCCATAGCCTCCTGCCTGGGAGAAATATGAGAACTTCAGAGAGGAATGGGCTAGAAGATCACTCTCTCGAGGCCCTCTCTTCGAAGCACCACTGCTTCAGGGCAACAAGTGATGAGTCAACCCTGGTCCAGCACGCTCAGCTGTCAGAATGTGTAACCATATTAGGTCTAACTTTGTCCACTCTGGCTAGAGCAGAAACCCATTTCCTCTTGTTAAGACTGCGGAAGAGCCAGGGGTCCTGTTTGCCATGGCTTCGCCGAGCCACGGGCTGGCGCTCCGTCCCTCCTTGGTTTACCTTCTGCGTTTCACTTGTCCCGTCAGCTCTGCCTGGGCTCCTCAGATTCCCCCTGCTCCAAATAAACAGAGTGTTACTGCCATGTCCAGCCAAGCTGTCAGTCCACTGAGTCAGAGATGCTGGCAAGGGGGTGCTTGTCTGGTGACTCTATGTGCAGTTCAAAATGTGATGTCTTTGTCAGGTGAATAGATTACGAGACCCATTTCCCCACAATTCATCAACAGAAACCTGGAGGGCTTATGTTTCCAGACCGGGCAGCTTTATACGTGGTAGCAATTGAAGACAGACAGTACAAGGACTTCAAAATCCACTGTAAGTCACCGTACGGTTCCTTGTTGAGCTTCGGTTGTCTGCTGGGGGTGAGAGAAACTTCAGGGTGGTCGGTTGGTGTCCTGGGAGAGTTTACCTGTGTGTGACCTTTCTGGTTTCTTCTATGGAGCCTTTCTCACTATTCCCAAGGGTGGGAGGTCTACAGAATATAAATGAACAATGTGGCTGGCAGAAGGTAACATCTGGGAAGGGAGAACAGAGTGTGGCCCCGGGCAGTAGGAGCGGGGCAGGTGGCCAGGTGTGGCAGGTCTCCCACCAAGCCAACCGCTTCGAAACTTGCCTGCCCCCTTGCCTCTAAACTAGTCAAAATCACCGTGACTCTGCGTCACACTCGGTAAAATAGGGAGTCTTCTCTGAGGTTCCTTTAAGGATACATGCAGTGAGGTGGGGAGAGAATCTCAATCAATCAGATAGTGTGCTTGGGGTGGGCAGAGGCTCGTAGGTAAATAGGTATCCATAATGTCTTACAAGTTAGAACAGTGTCGTCTCTCAGGCAAAAGGGCTCCATGTGGTGGTACATTCCTACAGCCCAGCACTCAGGAGGCAGAGGTAGGAAGATCATAACTTTGAAGCTAGCCTGGGCTATGCAGCAAGACCCCATATTTCTCTCTCTCTACACCACTCTAAACAAAAGAAACAGATGTGGTAGCTAATTCCCACATTTGGGAGGCTGAGATGCTGGGGGGCAGGGGGATTATCTTGAATTCAACACCAGCCTGGGCTACAGAATAAGGCTCAGTCTCAAAACAAAATAAACAAACAAAACCTTTGCCAGTATTTTATCTGGTTCTAGAGAACCATTTTATTCTATTTCATTTTATTTTATTTTATTTTATTTTATTTTTTTTTTTTTTTTTTTTTTTTTTTTTGTTTTTCGAGACAGGGTTTCTCTGTGTAGCTTTGCGCCTTTCCTGGAACTCACTTTGGAGACCAGGCTGGCCTCGAACTCACAGAGATCCGCCTGCCTCTGCCTCCCGAGTACTGGGATTAAAGGCGTGCGCCACCACCGCCCGGCTTTCTATTTCATTTTAAAAGTTTTATTTCTTAGTGGCATGGGCCTGGCGTTTGGTGGAATGGTACCCAGTGTACTTCTGTCAGGTGAGACATGGCCATGTCACTTGGAACGGCACATGGCAACGGAGCAAAGAGCCCTTTAAATGACTGACACACCAGCACTCAAACCAGAAGCAAGAGGCAGGGGCTCCAAGTTGCACAGCAGTCAGTCCGTCCAGGTTCACGTCCATGGGCTGCAGACACCTGCTTGGGAAGGCTGTGAGGCTCACACACCCTTCTGGAAGTTGAAGGTCACAGGGTGAGGCTCAGAGCCAAACTTCAGAAGGGGAAATGAAGGAGTGACTTGAAGCTCCATGCCTTGGAAACCTGCCAGGTCACTGTCATTGCTAATATTTGACCCCAGGAAAGGAGGACAGAGGCCTCTGAGTGAAAGTCACATGTGAGGTGACTGGGGTGAATGCTTTGACACCTGCCAACCCTAGCGTTTTAAATGAGGGCTTTGCCATTTACTGACTGAGTAACCTTGAGTGGGTTACCTGACTTTGAGCCCCGGTGAGAGGTGATGCTCTCAATCCCAGTGATTTGCAAGGATTAAATCAGATGATGTATGCCAAAGAACACCACAGTTTGTGGTGTGTGTAGGAATAGGCCAGGCCTATCCTTTGAAGGAGTAAGCCAGCATCTTGTTCGGCTCCAGGCTCTGCCAAGCCTGCTGGCCTCTGGTGGCTTGGAATATGGGCCTTGCATCTCCCCACCAAAAACTAAAGAAGCCACTGAGTGGCGAACAGTAAGTCAAGCGTGTGTTTAAATAGAATTCAGATCACCCTGGAACAGCATTTGGGGGCTTGTGAGGAGTAATTGTTCTTAGCAGCGTGTGGAGAGAACATTCAAACACATTCTTCACTCACATCTACTTAAATATTTATTGAGCTCTAGGAAAGCTCTTTATGGAGCAGCCTTCTAGTTTCCAGAACAAACTCACCTCCTCCCCTCTTCCCTCCCCGGAACCTGTAGGGAGCCCTTGGAGCAGGCACATTGCAATGAACTGGCCATTCTGAACCTACCAGGGGAAGGGACAGAGGCTCCTAGTTAGGGGCCAGCCCAGAACTGGAGAACATGTCATTTATCTTCACAGTTCCTATGACTGCCTTTACAGCTCTGGAAAAGAGAAAAACAAACTAACAGCCAAACAAACTAAAACTGAACAAAACCAAAAGTCAGGCCCCATTTTTTAAAGTGTTTACCTTGGGGTATCTTTTTAAAAAAGCTCACACTATAGTTCTGTGGTACTTACTTAGCTTCAACTGCCGGCACCACAGCAAAAAAAAAAAAAAAAAAAAAAAAAAAAAAAAAATCAAACAACATCAAAACCCCTAAATTCCCAAAGAACAAGATTCTAACATTTATATTTCATTTAGGATACAGTTAAGTATTCTACTTCAATGTTTTTCTTTTAAACACACATTTTTAGCTAAAGGAAACAGGCCCCTTTAGAGAAGTGCCTTCCCAACAACAGCTTTTGGTTGCTGGTTGCCAAGGGGACAGTTACAGGCAAATTTCAATTGGTCCAAGAAGCACAGGAACAATGTGAATGTGGGGCTTGTCCCACCCTACAGAAAGTAAACTGTTGAGGTTGAAGGCTTCCCTTCCCATCCCCTCTCCTGTTCCCCCCTTCCCCTCTCTTCCTGTCTCTGCTCCCCTCCCCTTCTCAGCCATGAGCATACAACAAAACACAGGCCCTGCCCTCACTCTATTGACCAGCTAAAGGGGAACCTGGCAGAAAGGACCAGGTGCTTGACCTTCCCTGGCTCAGGGTGTGTGTGTCTTCTTGAACAAAGTGGGGAATAACACATCAGAGGAACGTGCAAGGTGTGTTTGAATCTGAAAGAGGAGCAATCAGTAAAACAAAACAAAACAAAAACAAACAAACAAACAAAAATCAGTCCCCTACTGCAGAGAAGGCTTATGGAATCTCAAAGTTGGGTCATCCATTCCAGTTCATCCCCGCCACAAGTCACCCAACACGAGAATCTCCAACCAGCTGGGGGTCAAGAGGAGGGGGAGCAGAAAGAAGACCCGGTGTGGAGGTAGCTGCACTGTGGCTGGAGAGTTGCAGACTCTATCTCTTGGAGTGCTGGGGTCCGTCTGGCTTTTCTACTCTCTACTCCGCTCTTGGACCTATACGTTTTTTATGTGGGGACTTTTCCCCATCGTTCACTTTGCTACTGGCAGCCTAAAACACTTGAGGACATTATAAACACCTTCCATTCTGCACAGCGAGACTGTAAGTGGGGCCTTGAGGTACCCCTGTCTTCCTCTGGAGGCATTCTGAGACAGTGGCTCTGGCTGTCAGCCCTCACAGAGAAACTCAGATCTTTCAGGCCAGAGAAAGAGGAGGGCAGCTGCTGTACTTTCCAATATGTATTCTGTTCGTTTCCAAGAATTTGTGTTTCTGTTTCTTTGGCTGCTTCTGAGACAGTATCTCCTCGTGCATGTGTCTTTTTTATGTGTGTCTCTCTGGATCTCTCTCTCTCTCTCTCTCTCTCTCTCTCTCTCTCTCTCTCTCTCTCTCTCTCTCTCTCTCTTTCTCTCTCTCTCAAGTTTTACTTTGATTTACTTGGGTGTGTTTTCCTTGTATACATCCTGATTGGGGTTATATACAATGCTTGGATCTGTAGGTTGATTGCCTCATTAACCTGGAAAAAAATTAGCCATCATCCATACAAGTGTGTATTTTTCTGTCTGATCTTCCTCATCTTCAGGGAGTTTCATTAAAAATGTATTTGATATTACACTATAGATGTTGGATTTTTTTTCTCATTGTATTTAATTTTGAGTTATTTTTATTGAACTAGTTTTGGGTTTATTGATCATTTCCTCAATGTGTTCACGCATTCCACTAACAAGCTGATTACAAGAATTCTTCCTCTCTGATAGCGTGATTCTGGTTTGAAGAATTTCATTGGCCTTTGAAGACACTGTTTCCCTCTTCTACCCATCTGTTGCGCATCCTTTACCTTCCCCACTGGATTTCTTAATGTGTTTGTTATAGTGACGTTACAGTCTCTGTGGAGCAGTTCTACCATCTGAGCTACAGCTGTGTCTGCCCTTCTCTTTCTCTTTGGATAACAGGTCACATGTGTGCCCTTTCCGGTGTCTTGTGACTCTTCGCTGCTCCTGGGCACGGTGTGTTAAATCAACACAGGAGACAAAGGATAGTTATACCCAGAAAAGAGGCTTTCCCTCCGACAGGGTTTTTCAGTAGGGGCTTCAGTCGAATGGGCCTGCAGTCGTGGGCTTTGAGGTCGCCTTAATAACCTTTACTGTGACGTATCAAGGTCTGTTTCAGAATTAATGTTAATCTATCAACAAGAGATGTTCAGGGCCCTCCGATGTCACTTACATAAGTAGTGGCAGTCCTTCAACAGACAATATGGCCTCTCAATAGACAATTAACACCTGATCCACAGCCTCCCTTTTCTGCTTCACTTCCACCAAGACAGCCTAGTGGGAAACAAACGTCAGCAGAACCAAGAAAATGCATTGCTGAAGGGTCTAGATGCTTTGTCCCTGGAGAGCTGGAGTGGGACAGTCTAGCTGTGGACATAAGACATCAATTAGCCCCAGTAAAGGTACCTAGAGGATGAGACATTTGCAAAGAAAGAACATTTCATTTGTGAATACCTTCAGCTTGAAAAGAACCAGCTGCGGGCCTGTGCTATGTCGGATGCTGTGGGTGCCGAGGACATGGAAGGGCCCCCAGTAGTTGGAAAGGGGTTCACCAATGCTATGAGACTTTAAGTTCATGACTCAGGACCTGAAAAATACCTCAGAAGATCAAGCAACATGAAGGTTTGCCAACTCTGGGTGGAATGACCATGTTTGTGGAAGTCCAGCTTCCTGAGTCTCCCATCTAGAGATTCTAGTCCAGTAGGTCTGGTCAGAGCCCGGGAGCTGCACTTTAAAAAGCATTCTAGAGCACATCAACACTGAGCCAAACCCTTCCTTTTACAAATAAGATTGGAGAAGAGGCTTGGTCCGCACAGGGCCATTCAGCTTGGCGCTCAAACCACATAATGATGACTGCCATATGCCAAGGTCTTTCTTTGCACCTGGCACTGTCTCAGGCACTTTGCATATAATGTCCTTTCAATGCTCATAAGGGCCCTGGAGAATAGCCACATTATCACTAACAGCTCCATTTTAAAGAAAAAGACACGGAGGCTTGGAGAAACTCATGCTTACGTAAAGTTACACAACAAAGAAATGGAAGAGCTCAGATGTGAATCCCAAACACCCAGGCTGTCAACCATCACACATGCCATCTCTGAGGATTTTGTTGGACACTTGTGTAGAGCCTTTTCTAGAGGGAAGGGGTACAGGGACTGAAGGAATGGGTGCACAGTGACAGGTTTCTTCATGGAGGGTTTAAACCCAAGGCAATGTGACTCAGTACATATGTGTCATCTGGGAAGGGAGTGGATAGCAGCCAGATCCCATAACGTGGCCTATCTATCTATCTATCTATCTATCTATCTATCTATCTATCTATCTATCTATCTATCTATTTATCTATCTTGGAGACAGAGTCTCATGTAGTCAGGCTGGCTTAGAACTCATTATATAGCCAAGGCTGACCTTGAACTCTTGGTTTTTTCACCTCCACCTCTGAGTGCCAGGATCAGAGGCATGGACCACCACACTTACCCAGTGCTGGGGATGGACCCAGGGCACGCCAGGCGAGCACTCCACCAGAAGAGCTACTTCCCAGCCCCCACAATGGTGGTTTCAACCAGGAGTTTGGCACCGGCCTCCTGTAATTGAATGGGCCGTGACTGGCATCATCTCTGCAAGCAGGAACTCACCGGCACTCACCCTCTGGGAAATGATTGTTCCTTCTGTCTGCTTCCCCCCATCCCAGAGATCTTTATGTACCTTAGAAAAGAACAGCAGTTCCTTGACTGGCCATTCACACCTCCTTCTTCCACTCCCACTCTCTTCAACACACACAGGGACCTGCATTCCCCAAGGTACCCTTTGTGTGATGAACACTAAAAGAAAATTTACATTTAATAAGAGTTCAGACCAAAGCATCTTTACTTCAAAGCATTTCGAAACCCTTCAGAATAAACAGATGAGATCGTGCTTCTCGGGAACCAGAGCCCTGGCCCAAGCCCTCCTTTTGGCAGGAAGAACTTTGTATGCCTGGCTGGTGTTACACTGGGACACAGCTGGAGGCCAGGGGTCAACTTGGCTCTTTTCCTAGCTCCACGTTGGTGTCCCTGGGCTGGTGTGTGACTTTGGGTCAGGGTTTGTGTGTGAGCCAGATGCCAACTTATCAGGGTCAATTTTCTCATCTGTAGCTTGGAGGCACCATCAAGGAGTTGTTGGGTGTATTAGGCAAAGGTGACTAATCACTCACTAATGCCAATTAGCACCATCCCTGATGGTCTTAGGCCATCAGACTCAAACTCACCAGCTCCTACACTCTAATTCTTCTTCCTTCCCAAAGCGTTTCATTAGTAGTCCATGAGGCCCAGAGCCCCATAAGAATGGTTGCCCCCTCCCCACATAGGGTGATTTCTTATGGGGTGAGCCCTCAGTGAGTGCTTTTCAGATCGATGGCATGGGGGTAAGGTGAGCACCCTCCTGCACCCACCTGCTGAGCAAGCTGGGATTCTGAGAGGTCAGGGAGGGAGTCTGCCCAGTGTCCTCAGAGTAAGCTATGGTGCCAGACTCAGATGGGCCCTTAGGGGACAGGAATCTTGAGCAAAGGCCCAGAAACAGGAAAGTAAATGGCCTGGAGAGGAGACAGCAGGCACATGCCGGAAGTCACCGGTCCTGTGTGTAAGGAAGGACCTTAGCCTTATTGCCTTCTAGATGTGTGACCTTCCAGCAGTTTCACAGCCTCTCTGAGCCCTGGCTGACGTGACAGAATGGGGCTTGCCTTTTCTAGAGGCGAGAATGGCAGTGTGGATGAACAGCTGCTTCACTGCAAGGCTGCCCTTGCAGGCCAGTGAATGAGCAGCTGCTTCACTGCAAGGCTGCCCTTGCAGGCCAGTGATGCTTCCAGTGTTCTGACTGAAGGGAGCAGAGGCTTCACCTTGCTCCCTTGTCTTAGAAAGGCTGTGCTGTAGCTTGTGTGAGCTTGGGGGTCCTGCTGCCTGTCCTCATGTCGCACTCTGTCTCCTCAGGGTGGGAGAACGTCTATGGCTTTGACATGACCTGTATCCGGGATGTTGCCATGAAGGAGCCCCTGGTGGACATCGTGGACCCAAAGCAAGTGGTGACCAATGCCTGTTTAATAAAGGTCTGGAGATTCGTCTGGGTTGGGACTGGGTATGCTAAGGACCCAGTGGTGCCACTCTGGAAAGCGGGGTCATAGCAATTCCTGCAGGGCTCCCTACTGAGGGCACCAAGGCCACTTTGGTCAGAGCCTGGTGACAAGTCAAAAGCTGGTGTTCTTGCTAAGCAGAGCTGCTGAGATGACTCCAGAGTGGCACTGCTGGTAGCGGGGCCCAAAGCGGGGCCCTTGGTAGTGTGAGTGAGGAAGAGAGCATCAGAGACCACACTGCTGGGAGCGGGGCCCAAAGTGTGTGGGGGGTGGGGAGGTGAGGGGTTGGGGTTGAGGTTGGGGGGTGGGAGGGGTGGGAGGACCCTTGGTGGTGTGAGTGAGGAGGAGAGCATCAGAGACCACACTGCTGGGAGCGGGGCCCAAAGTGTGTGGGGGGGTGGAGGGGTGGGGAGGTGGGGGATGGAGGGGTGGGAAGGTGGGGGGTTGGGGAGTTGGGGGTTGGGGGGTGGGGTGGTCCTTGGTGGTGTGAGTGAGGAGGAGAGCATCAGAGACCACACTGCTGGGAGGCAGGAGGAATATGGAGACTTAGGGTAGCAGGGCAATTCAGGGCTGAGTGTCCATCTTGGGGAGGACCTCTCAGACCTCCAGAGACTGCCACTCCAAGCACACATCAGGTTTGCACACACAGAGCCTCCAGCCCCATCCTGGAGCCTCCTCCTTGGTCCGTGCCCTGAAATCCTTTGTCAGGGTTTCTTCAGTGTGCACAACTAGCTGGTGAGCATCTTGGATTCTCTCTTATTATTAAATATCTAAACATGCCTAATTACGAAGCGTAACAATAAGCATTTGAACCCCACCCCCACCACTTTGCCCACCCCAACTCCTCCCAGGAGCCGCCACTGTTCAAGGCCAGATGAATCTTTTCAGTCCCCCTTCTAAGTTTTAACACTATGTGCTAATGTATGATCTGAAACAGAGGCAACTGACGTGTGACTACCTCTAGTCTTTGAGGTTGAAAGACATCCACTTCACAGGACGCAAGTTCATTTTTGGATATAAACCCATGGCTTCTTTGTAAGCCTCATCATCCTACCTGTCTCTCTCATTCTACTGGGGCATCCTTGTCTGCTCTGGGCCCCTGTGCCTCCCTTGTTTTCTGGACGTCTGGGACTGGTGGCTTGGAACCTTTCTAGCAGAAGTGAGGACCGATTCACGGCCTCCAAAGTTGAGGGGAAGTTTCTGAATGGCTGCTGTTTGTCCATACAAAGAACTCCCCCTCTTTTTTGGACATAGGATCCACTGCAGCCCTTGTTCCTGATCATCCCTGTTGCACCACCTGATAACCCCCCCCCCACTTCGCAGCATCCTGCCTGAGAGGTTTAGCTGCAGATCTGAGTCTTGGCTTCTCATCCTCAGGCTCACAGTACTCCCCGCTTATCAGTTCTCTGGTACTGGCAGGAGCCATTGCAAGGAAATATGCCCACATCTTCCTATAAACCCATAACCCCGAGGCCTTTCTCTCTTGGGACTCTGAACAAGAGCAAGGAAAATGGGAGAAGCTCACTCTCAGGGCATGGCACACCCCTGAAAATTCAGAAGAAGAGTTGAGCCTTATGGCTGAGATCTTTAGTCTCTGTGGAGGCTAAGAGAGAAGGATAGAGAAGATAGAGAGTTTGAGACCCTCTTGGGCAACTGTCTCAGAAGCCAAAGCAAGAAGAGGAGAGTTCATTTCAGTAGTTCAGTGGTAGAGCACTTGCCTAGCATATACTAGGCCCAGAGTTCAGTCCCCAGTACCAAAAATAAACAAACAAATAAATAAATTGATGAATTTATTTATTAATTGATTTCAGAAGAGGTAGACGTCAATGAGTACTATTGAATTTTCCAAAACAACACGTAGCCATCACAGCTGCCATCGGGCGCCCGCACAAAGCAGCTTTAGCTTAGAGATAAAATCTGTTAGTGTTCTGGGCACTGGATCACCTTATTGTCTTTGACAGAGTCCCATTGCAATGTGGCCACTGTGTTCCTACGTGTTGCCTGCCGGTGGCCTCCCAGGTTGGCTAGGCTCTCCCCAACCCTCAGCCCCCATGCCTCTCTTTCCCTTTTTCTCCTTTTCCCTCTTCCCAGGTGGGTGCCTCGGCAGCAAGATCCCTGGCCATGTTGCACCTGGGTGTATCTGTGTGCCAAGCAGTCAGACTAGACGGGAAGGAGCCTGGGGAGGGATGGGTGTCGCATCTGTTCCTCCTGCAAACTCAGAAGTATCTGAAGATGTCTCGGGACCAGGGGCCCTCTGCGATGATGCCTCTTTGCTGCTGCACTGAGACCTTCTTATCAGCATTTTCTGAGCCAGGAGGGGGACTGTTTGCCCCGACAGTGCTCGCTCCCACCTCTCTCTCTCTCTCTCTCTCTCTCTCTCTCTCTCTCTCTCTCTCTCTCTCTCTCTCTCTCTCTCTCTCTCTCTCTGCAGCATCTCACTGAGCCTCCTGGGAAAACACTTGCCCTTCTTCACACACTTAATTGCTGTTTTCATAGCTATTAACACTGCCGAGTGTGACACTTTATTATAATTAAGACTCTGTTTTGACCAGACTTTTGCCTGGAGACATCTATTTGTGACATTATTGAGAGGTGGGGGTAGCAGAGGCCAGGAGCTCCTCTGAAGCTCATTCCCTGAGGATCCCTGTGTTATCTGGGGTTGTCTGAGGACAAGGCAGTGAATTTCCTTGAGGTCTCAAGGGTGCAAATGAGAGAGAAAGAAGCCTTCCAGTAATAGCGCCCGGGCTCCTGGGCATCAGTGGGGATAACTGTGGCTGAGCTGGGGGCTGGGGCATGCACCTGAGCCCCGGGCCTTTGAGTCCCCAAAGCCCAGCCAGGTCTGATCCTATTCCCACAAAAGGGACCCATCTGCCTCTACTATTGTCACGTTAGTGCACAGCTTCATTGCCCTCTGCCTGGAGCCTTTTGTTTCCTCAGAGGCCCCCATTAAGATGCAAATGTCTCCAGGACCCATGGAACACTGTCAGCTAACACAAGATATGACGGATGACATTTGGTTGATGGATGGTCTGAGAGGCTGTCTGGAGATGGGATGCCTGCTAGATGGTTTGCTTGTGCTGGCTCTGTGTGTGTGTGTGTGTGTGTGTGTGTGTGTGTGTGTGTGT